CTCTGCTGGGTTAGCTGGAGTACGTACTGAAAGGGGAGGGACTGGCCAGGAATCCTGAGGAAGGGCTGGAGAGAAAAAATCCAGGACAGAGAGGATGAGATCTGAGCCTGCGAGGCTGTGGGGACAGGGAGGAGGGGCCAGGGCAGTCTAGGACAGGAGGGACAGAGCTGGGGACTGATGGGCGGTGGGAGGTGAAGAGGGAGGTGCAAGGCCTCCCTGCTGATGTGAAGGTCTTTCTGAGAGGGGGATCTGAGAGGCGCCTCCCACCCACTCCTGCCCCCAAAGCAAGTTAGGTAACGGGAAGGTCATGGCGCTCCACGAAGGGCCACCTTGGGAGCCCTGTCTGCTGACCGCTGACCTCTCGCTGCTCCCCAGCTGGAGGAGGAGCGAACCCGCCTGGCCGAGCAGTTGCGAGCGGAGGCAGAACTGTGCGCCGAGGCCGAGGAGACGCGGGGGCGGCTGGCAGCCCGAAAGCAGGAGCTGGAGCTGGTGGTGTCGGAGCTGGAGGCCCGCATGGGCGAGGAGGAGGAGTGCAGCCGGCAACTGCAGACCGAGAAGAAGAGGCTGCAGCAGCACATCCAGGTCTGGCCTCGACTGCCCGCCACCTCCCTGGACCCCTCTTGTCTACCCCAACCGCCTTTGCTTCTATATATCATGTTTCTTTTGCCATGAATTTACAGAAAAAAAGTCAGCTCAAAATGACTTTTTTAGGGGAAACCCTAAAACATGTAAGCTTCAGGTAAGGCTGGGTCCAGGCACTCAAGTGATATCCTCAACACTCTGCCTCTCTCTGTCTCCTGGCTCTGTCTGCCTCGTGCTGCTGCGTTCACAGGCGGCTTCACTTCCATGGCTCCCCGTCAAGATTGAGTGTGTTTCACACTCGAGGCCTGGCTCAACTTGGACGCTGTGTTTTCATTGGAAACATTTGATCTATACTTACATTTCAGATCTTCTACAGTTTAAAAAAGTAGATTCACAAACCCAGCCTGTTCCAGACACGCTTAAGAGTTTTCATAGTGTCTGGTCTTAAGTTTCAAATAAACAAAGTCGAAAATTTCCTTCCCCAGCCACAAGGGCCACATTTCAAGAGCTGTGTGGCGTTTTAATGGCTTCCTCTTCAACTCCTTGGTGGGGGAGGGACGGTGCCCTAGAGTTTGGGGACACTGAACTCAGGGTACCTGAAGGATTGCAGGGACAGACCAGATTGACAGCAGCTCATGAGTCACAAATACAGCTCCCTAGAATCATTTCATGGCAGGGAACTGACACGTCCTCTCAGGCTTAGGCTGCAAGTGCCGGGTCCCCCTGCTCAGGAGGGGAGATGGCCAGGGAGCAGAGTGGTCAGTACGGGTCTGCGTGATTTGTGTCTTTATTATGCTTACCGGCCTCCATCTGCATCCCCCAGTGCATTCAAGGGAATGTGATTTCCATTATCCCTCCCAGGGCTTTGGGCAGCGGGCTCCCCAGGCCTTAGATGCGCTTGTGAACCAGTGAAGGAAGTGGGAAGGGCAGTGAGGATTTGGCGCTGCCCAGGGCGTGGACCTGTCTGCACCACAAGCCCCAGAGGTCTGCGGGGCGCCCTGCCCACTCCCTTCTCCCTTCAGGAACTAGAGACCCACCTGGAGGCGGAGGAGGGGGCTCGGCAGAAGCTGCAGCTGGAGAAGGTGACGACAGAGGCGAAGCTGAAGAAGTTTGAGGAGGACCTGCTGCTCTTGGAGGATCAGAATGCCAAGCTGAGCAAGGTGGGGCCTTGGGAGCTGGGGGTGGAGTAGGGGTGTCTGCCAGGTGACAGGGATGAAGAATTGGGGTCCAGGTGCTAGAACAAGCTCTGGACACCCGTAAGCAAAACCCAAACAGCCGTAGAGAAAAGTGCTTCTCCTACACCTTAAACCATCTCTTGGCCGGTCATGGTGGCGCAGGCCTGTAATCCCAGTGATGGGGGAGGCTGAAGCAGGAGGACTGCAAGTTCAAAGGCAGCCTCAGCAATTTAGCAAGGCCCTAAACAACTTATCGAGATCCTGTCTCAAAATAAAACTATACAGGGCTGGGGATGTGGCTCGGTGGCTAAGCGCCCTGGATTCAATCCCATCGCAACAACAGAAACAAAAATGCTGCGGAAATTGGGCAGGCTGGGCTCAGCCTCAGGCTGAGGTGCGCCAGGGGCCAGCAGCAGCCTGGGCTCTCTCTTCTCGTGGGAGAAGGACGAGGCCAGGTCAGACCAGACCTCACAGCACCTCTAACCTCCCACCTGCACTGCATTCACCACCTCTTTGGCTAGAACAAGTCACATGGCCAAACCCAGTCTGGATGGGGCTGGGAGTTACATCCCACGGACTGTGCAGAGCAACAGCTCCAGGGTGGAGGTGTAGAGCAGTGTGACAGGAAGACAGTGTGGGGACCACCGAGCCAGCTCTGACCCTTTCTATTTCATTCTACTACCTTTTCTGTGTGCTGGGGATGGAACCCGGATCCTAGTACCGGGCAAGAGCTCCACCCTGAGCACCCCCTTGTCCTGAAGGACAGTGCTAGCCCATTGCATGCATTTCCAAAACCACTCAGGGTTTGGAGAGCACTCCCCAGTCCAAGGTCCTCAAACTCCAATGTGCACAGGAGTCAGGGAGGAGCTCACTGATTGCAGATCCTGGTCCAGCTGGTCTGGAGGCCCCAGGCTCTGCATGCGCACCCAGGCATGCGGGTCCACAACCATCCTTTGAGTAGTGCAAGAATCCCGAACTCACACGCGGGTGCAGCCGACTGGGTGCCGGTGGCCATGGTGTTCATGTTAGCGATGCTGGAGCAGCCTCAGTGTCCCTGAGTGGAACTAACAGTCACTGTCCTGCAGCTAACAGCCGTGAACTCGTGGGGGAGGGGAAGAGCCCAGAGGCGCCAGGGAATAGGGCAAAGGAGGCAGGGGTGAGAGGAGGGCGACCAGGAAGGTGACGCTCCAGACGTAGATGAGCATGGGAGAAGCCACTGGTGAGGACCTGTGTGGCTGGCCCCGCTCCTGACCCCCTGGCCTCCGCTACCCCTCAGGAGCGGCGGCTGCTGGAAGAGCGCCTGGCCGAGTTCTCCTCCCAGGCGGCCGAGGAGGAGGAGAAGGTCAAGAGCCTCAACAAGCTGCGACTCAAATATGAGGCCACAATTGCAGACATGGAGGGTGAGCGCCATGCACTGCACATAATGGGGGACTGAGGGCCGCGCTTGCTCTAAGGGGACCTCAGGCAAGCCTCCTGCGCTGTGCGCCCAGCGGTCATATCAGTTAAGTGTGGGAAAGCAGGCCCAGGACAGGAGGGCGTCCCAGGGCCCACGTTCCTAAGCATCTCAGCTCCTACTCTCGCTCCCTCCCTGAGGGGCTGGCTGCTCCCACTCTCTCCACCTGACTGTCCCTGTCTACCTCGCCATGTTGTCCCTCTGCCCCTCGCTGGTCGCTTTCAATCGGAAAGGAAACAGCATAGGGAGGAGGCCAGGCTCCTCAGAGGCGGGAGTGAGAACTCAGAGCCCGGGGTCGGCTGAGGTCTGGAGAAATTGGTCCCTGAGACCCGGGAGCCTGGGAGGAGGAGGTGGCATCCGGGGAGGCTTGATCCATGGCCACCTGGGTCTGGAGCCCCATGCATGACCCCACCTCCCGCTTGCAGACCGCCTGCGGAAGGAGGAGAAGGGCCGCCAGGAGCTGGAGAAGCTGAAGCGGCGGCTGGACGGGGAGAGCTCCGAGCTGCAGGAGCAGATGGTGGAGCAGCAGCAGCGCGCGGAGGAGCTGCGGGCCCAGCTGGGCCGCAAGGAGGAGGAGCTGCAGGCGGCGCTGGCCAGGTGCGGGCGGGTGGGCGTGGCAGGGCCAGCAGCAGGGGCGCAGTACGGACCCCGGGAGCTCTCCCAGCTGTGGGCAGACCCCAGCCCTTCCCAGCTGCAGTGTCCCTGCTGCCCAGTGCAGATAGCAGGGATGCGAAGCCACCGGGCAAGGAAAAGAGCAAGGACTCTGCAGCGCTGGG